CTAAGAAGAGTTATTCTAACTCTAAAGATGAATTTTTCTGACGAAGTTTGTGTTGAGTGTCTTTGTGAAAAATATACTAACAATATATGAAATACGTTTTTCAAATAAAAATTGCATTCTTATTTACATTAATTTCATTTAAAAAAATAATCAGTCTGATAATAATAAATTAAACAGAAACTCCCTAAAAAAACATGGCTCATAATAGTAGTAAGAGTTGATTATTATTTTTGTTTATTATATTTCATAATTAATAATAATAATTATAATTTTGTTATTCAACCTTATAATTGCATTGATTAATTAGTGTAGTTATTTCGTAGAACTTAATTAAAATTAAAATGTATAATGAACTGCCAATCGAAATTAAGAATACCAGCGACGACAATAATTTAAAAAGAAAAATAAAGTAATGTTATAAAAAAAAATAATACAAAAAAGATTTAAAAGGTATTCAAAGATATTGTAATTATAATAAATATATTATTGTATAACGAAATAGACAAATAATATGAATATATATATATATATATATATATATATATATATATTTTGTAGAGTTTCGAACAAGAATCCAAAAATAATACAAAATAAAAAACAAGAAAAGTTTTTAAAAAAACAATTTCTTTATTTAATTATTTGTTTATTGTCGACGTTTCGGAACTAGTATTACATGATTCATATTTAAATTTTTTACACTTTTTGACAAACAATTAATATCGACTTCCTTTTAAGATCAACAATTTAAGTATTCACACCCTAACATATAAAAACACACACATACAATCTCACATCTCTCGTTCAAGTGTTTACACGTGTTACAAAGGAACACCAGTTTCAATTAGTTAATTTCGAAAGCCAATCGAACAACATCCAGAGAACAATATTATTTGTGTTTTCAAATAATAATTTTAAAAAAGACAAATCTTTTAGTAATTTTGATTTACAAAATCTAATTATTCGGCGGAAAATTAACTCACAAATTCATTTTTGTTAAAAAAGCTTGTTTAGTGAAAAAGTGCTAACAAATATTCAAACATACAGGTAATTAATTCAACTTTGTCATTAACCTTTTCTTAAAAAATTTCCATAACTTTCAAAAAATTTTCTATTATGTTTAATATCCTGTTCTGATAATCCACTCATTTATTTTTATCATTTTCATTTTGAACATATTATCATATTTCTGTACATTATTATATTTTTTTGCAATTAATTCATTATTTAAGAAAAATCTATTTTCTTTTCCTAAACATATTGTTTGCTAAAATCTCATCAAGATCATGTTTCTTGACAGATGTCCTGAAGATGGAACGTACCTAGTTCCGAACGTCGACAATAAAAAATAATTAAATAAAGAAATGGTTTTTTTAAAAACTTTTCTTGTTTTTATTTTGTATTATTTTTGGATTCTTGTTCGAAACTCTACAAAATATACACAAATCCAAGACTCTACCATTCAATATATATATATATATATATATATATATACATTGTTTCATAATTTCTCATACCAGACACCCCTCTGTCTGACTGATTGAGATATGAAAAATAAATAATTAAAAAGATAATTAAAAATGAAATAATGAATCTAATTGCCCCCAAAAAGTCTCTTTAACTCTGAAAATTACTAGAATGATGAATT